ATAACATCGTCAAGGTAACACAAGCAGGTGGATCATTTCAACCCTTGAAGCAATGAGTCCATCATTCTTTCAAATGTGGCTGGTGCATTGCAGAGTCCAAAGGGCATCACGTTAAACTGATAAAGACCATCAGGAGTGATGAATGCGGTCTTCTCGCGGTCCATCTCGTCGACGGCAATCTGCCAGTACCCTGACCGAAGGTCAATAGTTGAAAAATAGGTGGCACCGTACAGGTAGTCGAGGGCGTCGTCGATGCGAGGTAAAGGATAAACGTCTTTTTTGGTAATTTTGTTAAGGTGACGGTAATCGACACAAAAGCGCCATGTTCCATCTTTCTTTTTAACAAGGACGACTGGAGAAGCCCAGGGGCTGCATGAAGGCTCGATAATGTTTTTCGCAAGCATTTTGCCGACTTCATGTTGTAATATTGCACGCTCCGACGCCGACACACGTTAGGGGCGTCAGTGAATGGGGGTTGCATGGCCAGTATTTATGCGATGGGTGACAATGGTCGTTTGGCCTAAAGAGTTGCTGGCAAAGTCGAAAATGCTACGATAGCCCTCAAGAACGTGGCAAAGCGCTGAAGCTTGCTCAGACGTGAGGGCCGATGACACCATTCACTCAATGTCGGCACCCCAAGAACGTGATGGAGTGGAACCACTGACCGAGCTGCAGCAATCGTCAACTCTAAAGGGCTCGACATGGTCATCTTGGAGAGCATTAATTTTGGCCAGGAAAATACCCTGCGGCCGAACTTGGGTGGTGTGTGAAAAGTTGACCAGTGGAAGGGAGGTGCGGTTTCTCTTAATCGTCAGAATCATATGCGGCACAGCAACCCCATGCGTAAGCATCACTGCAGGAATCGGGGCCACCATGTAATCACCATCAGGTACTGGCGGCGTGGAGGATAAGTCGACATGTGTGACGGAGTTAGGAGGGAGACGCGTGAAACCAATGCAGCAGAGGCTGGTTTGCGGTGGGCTAGGTGGGTCGAAATAGAGGGGTAAATCGAGATGGAGAGAGCCAGATGAACAGTCTATGAGGGCAGCGTGCGTGGCTAGAAAATACATACCGAGAATGAGGTCATGAGGGCAATGTTCGATAACGGCGAAAAAAACGACAGTGCTTCTCTCCGCAGTAGACTATCGCGCAGAGAACATGCCAAGAATTGCGGCAGTTCCTCCATCGGCGACTCGTACAGCTCAGTTGAGGGCGGGCGTGACAACTTTTCTTAGTCGGCGGCGAAGGTTAGCACTCATAATGGACACATGCGCGCCAGTATCTATCAACGCACTGACACGAACATTGTCGACAGTAACGTCCAAAAGGTTCCGGTTCCTTGTTCACGGTAATCGAGGATTTCTTACGATGGTCGTCAACGCAGCTCCACCTCCAGAAGCTGCACGGCCTAGTTTTCCGGTCGGAGATGCTGCGAATAGGTCGGGGAGGCAGCACGGTGTTGTGGGGGCGACCGGGACTGACGACGAGCAGGGGACGGTGACCGGTCGTAGCGAGGTCTGCTGAGAGGTGCTGTAGGAGCAGAAAATGTGGTCGGTGTTGATGGAGAAAGTGATGGGGACGATTCGCGAGCAGAAGTGGTGTAATACTGAGGTGCATAATGGGACGGTGAAGCCCAGCGGCTGCGGTAGTGACGTGCGATATGACCAATGCGTCGACAGTTGAAACATATGGGCCTGTCATCAAGGGTACGCCATTCAGACGGATTGCGTTGTATGCGAGGAGCAGAAGGGGGACAAAAAGAAGGCGCAACAGAGTATACGGCAGGTACAGAATGTAGGCCGACATTCGATAGCTCTTGACGAACGACGGCTTGTATCAAAGAAATCGTGGTCGGGGAAGACGTAGGCGTCGGTAGTGGCGTGGCTACCGGTTGTGCTGCCTCTACCTCTCGACGAATGATGCGTGTGAGGTTGTCACATGGAGGGGCCTGGTGGAAGACGCCGTCACACGAAGAGGTGGCCGCTGTGTTCGGAAGGCGCACGATGTTTTGGGCTACACGGCGGGCTTTAGCTTGTTCGAGACGTCGGCATTCTTTAAGGATGTTGTCGATGCTCGAGATGTTGTTAAAAACCAGCAGGTTGAAAGCATCGTCGGCAATGCGTTTCAAGACGTGGTTAACCTTTTCGCCTTCGGACATCGACTGGTCGGCCTTGGAACAAAGGGCCAAAACGTCAAGAATGTAGGAGACGTACGATTCGGTAGAAGACTGGGCCCGTGTGGCAAGAGTCTTCTTCGCAGCGAGCTGACGACCAGATGACTCGCCGAACAGGTCACGTATCTTCTCTTTGAAGAGATCCTAGCTCGTTATGTCGGCTTCGTGGCTTTCAAACCATGATCGGGGAGTGCCGTCCAGGTAGAAAAGCACGTTGGCGAGCATGAGCGTGGGATCCCAGCGGTGAGTTGCACTGACGTGCTCGTACCGCTTCAGCCAAGTGTCGAGATCGATTGTACCATCACCGGAGAAAGTGCCGGGATCCCGGAGGTGCGGCAGTGTTACGTAGGTGGTGGCTTCGACTGACGAGGGCGGCGTAGAGGAAGTACCAGCAGTCGAAGCAGTCGAAAGCTCGCCGATGGTGCGACCGCTGCGCGTCTCCATCGAGGTACAAGGGTCGTCCACCTCCACCAATAATGTTACGAGTAACTTGTTTATTGATCTATTTACAGCGCGAAGAACTCGACGAGTAAGATGGCGCCAGACCAGCATCCAACGGAAAAAAACCCACTTCGTCCTCCTCTTTCATGCAGCCGTGTTTAGCGGCTGTTTTGTATCAATATTAAACCAGCATTGTATCTAACGAGCGTGCGTTGCGTGCCTTATTTCTCCAGGTGATGATGAATAATACCGTAGTGCACCAACCGCAACTACACTTGCAGTAGACTCCCCAGGAAACAGAAAGGTTTATTTATGGAAAAGCAGAGAGGTCACACCAAGATGCATCTGGTGAATCAAACTTGCGATGTGTTGTTTTGACCTATACAGCAAGCAGAATGTGATTTCTGGCCCCAATTCGTGTAATCGCTGGCATCCTCAGCCATGGTATATGCACCGTCTACTGACCAGAAGAAGTTGCATTGCTGGCACTAACCCAACTTAAAATTGCTGACGTTGGCCGTTAGGCGCACGCAGAAAACAGACGCCCACACGCGTCCCCGTCTATTCTTGCTAGAATCCGCCCGCTAACGCGGGCGGCAAGACGCGGGCGTTGTATTTTATTTTGACTGACCCCATCATATTATCGCGTTTTTCCCCGCTGGGTTTTGCTTTCTTGTATTGCAGTCACCCTGGAATAGTGGACTGCACGGAGCAGTTCTCAAGCGTGAAGTTGCGCATTACGCCACAATGCAGAGCGTACGCGTCTGGCCGTGGAAACGAAGTACGCACTTCAGGGCCACTGGTTAAGCTTTTCACCTTCAGCACCGGCATTGTCATGTCCCATCCTGCTGAAGCGCACAAGACTCCATTGAAAGGTAATGACGTGACCATTTTCTGAAACAATGTGAAGATCTCTGCTTTTTAAGGCTAGAATATAGAATGAACCTTGTCTCTGGAAGCACTACATAATATGCAAGACAGGTTCAGCATCACAGAACATTGTTCATGTGCGAGGTTACCCTTCATAAATGAACCTTATTGCCTCCCGGATAGCAAAAAGCTCAGCGGCAGTTATGGTGTAGGTGGAGGTCTTGTTGTCTAGCTAAAACCGTCAAGTGACAACCATTCGTGAAATGACAATGGGCGTCGTTGTATACGTGCGCAGAATCACCGCACGCTGTAAAAACGTTATGTCGGGTCATTGTTTGAGGTTTGTTGATGACACTAGGTACTTCTTCGTAATCCCAGGTATCATGAAGTTGACGTTCAATTTTATTAGTGTTCGCGGAGCTGTGCCACGAGCACTGGAAGGAGAAAACATTGATTGGAGAATGTCGTCAAGCTGTGATATTGCCCTTGTAGAACTGCTGTGCGGGTGCTGGCAGGTGGGGCTAAAAACTGGTGCTGCCTTTCTCGCGTAAACAAACGAAGATGCGCGGGAAGTGGCTCGCAGCATATGTATACGCTGATGGGACAGGCTTCCGCAATGGTTCTGTCCATTGAGATGCAGCGTGGTAGGCCCAAGCATGTGCACAATCATTGAGCTTGAATGCTTTCAAGAGCGTGCACACAGCCTGCCTTCATATTTGAGTGCACCGGCGTGCTGTTCTATATACATTATCAGTTATACAGTGCATTGTATATATAAAGAAGTGAGGATTATGACGGGTGCCATCTAGCACCTGCTACAATCTGAAGATTGAGAACAAAGATTTCCTATTTATTTTAAGTGTGGCGACGTCTCTCGACCGCGACAAATCCCTCTCTAAGATTATTGCAGGTAACTTGTGGTGCATTACATCATTTATTGCTGTTCGAATAATAGTAATATTTGCCCTGAAATTCTTTACAAGTTCAACTATCAAACTCGCCTATGTAACATATCTCGCGTTGCTGGAGTGATCATGAGGAAAAACAGCACACTTCAAGAAGAAATAAAGACAAAAAGAAATCAATAGCTGCTTTGTCATCTCACCCCTTCCCCGTCTTCGTTCACTAGTTCGAAAGGAAGTTTTTCGAAAAGAAGTGAAGTTTATATCACCACGTAGTCTGCTTGTGGGGATTCCAAGTGAACGAGGGCAAAGAAGATCTACGAGAGCTGCTGCTTGGCTAGCTTGCTCAACAATACTATAAAAGCGTGTTTGTCGTCAGAAACGCCAAAAAACTGGTAAAGGATGCGGGTGCTACGACTCATGGTCCATCTGATGCACAAGATTCCACCCAGCACCAGGACCACAAGCCCTCCACACGTGGACACACCTGCTCTTCGAGCAAGCAGCCACCAACAAGGCCTACAACCTGAGACACCGACTATTGACGCAGTGACTATGACTTCGACACAAGCTCACGTGCAAGCTCCGTCACTTTCTAAGCCGACCTACTGCACCGTCCAGAATGCGCTCATGCCCAGCCCCTTCCACGAACAGCAGTATGAAAATGTTGACGGCTGGTTGAGTGAGCTTGAGGGTGTCGGAGCGATCGAGTACTGGGATGATGCCGCAAAGCTCCAAAACTTGTACGCCTAAAAGATGAAGCGAAGACGTAATTTCTGAACAAAAATTATGTTCTGACATCTTGGGATGAGTTCCAACGTCACCATCTGTAGTCCTAATGAGTCCCGACCACCAGGAACAATTACGCATTCAGATTGCAAACGAGACCGTCTTGATGTACGTCGAGGATATGACACGGCTCTTCAAGCAAGTGGATCCTTCTATCGCATAAGAAAAAACAGTTGCGCCATCGCATGCTTGGTGTGAAGAAAGAATTTTTACTAATTTGGTGCGTAGGCCTTCCAAAAGTGTTGCTGAGTTTTTCACTGATGTGAAAATGATGGCGCAAGACCTGCACCAATGGTCTGCCCTCTTGGACCGTCAAGTGAATGATGCATCAACTCCTGAAAGCAAGAGCACCGAATTACTTCGTGAGATCATCCACTCTGTCGTCCACGAAAAATGGAAAAGATGTCCGAGACAAGGCAAGCAGATGTCGGTTCTATCACCCTTGTCATCCGTGACGAGGTCGAGCAGGTACTGCATGCCCCGCCGCGGTGGTCTAGTGGCTAAGGTACTCGGCTGCTGACCCGCAGGTCGCGGTTTTGAATCCCGGCTGCGGCAGCTGCATTTCCGATGGAGGCGGAAATGGTGTAGGCCCGTGTGCTCAGATTCGGGCGCACGTTAAAGAACGCGAGGTGGTCAAAATTTCCGGAGCCCTCCACTACGGCGTCTCTCATAATCATATGGTGGTTTTGGGACGTTAAACCCTACAAATCAATCATCAATCATCAGGTACTGCACGCCCATCATTTTACACTGATGTCTGTTGATCCGGAAACGGCTTGTGTGTTTACTGACAGTCGCCGTCGTACGTACGCGGAAGCCTTGCGATATGCTACGCCTCTTTCTAGTCTAAGAGTTCTGACCCAGACAATACCACACGTCCCGATCCGGACAATGCCATACGTACCAATCCAGACAATGAGGACATCAGTCGTGACTCAGTCAGCGCACTCTGCTTCAGACTTCGATAGTTGCCGAACACCGACGCGCAAGCCTGACTTCTGGCGTACGTCGGACAGACGACTCCTCTGCTATTATAGCGGTGAGGGTGGTCACATTTACCGCGAATGTTATCACCGGCAACTTGAACAGCGTAGTTTTTACAATTATTCACCTTGTCCCCAAATTGGTTGAAGGTCAAGGAAAATCGAAGAGTACCTCGCGCACTAGCGTGCACTCTTTACACGACGCAAATCGTAGTCAACTTCTCCGAGGAGACCCGCATCCACTGGGCCACGTTTCGAGGTGACGGCACAGGGACGCTCCCCGAAGCCTTGTCGGGAAAGCTGAAGGCAACGGCCTTCGAGGGCGACGTCACTGAGACTCGAAGTGCGAAAGACTTCCCATCGACGCTTCCACGCAACGCCGAAGACATTTCGTCAGAGATTGAGCGCAGTACCAAAAAAACGCCAACACCCATGTCTGAACACTGCGATCGTGTGTCACTCGATGTACCTGTGCTAATTGATGGTTTGCAGGTCAATGCCTTAGTGTGACGCTGCCACTTTCATTGACTATTCCGATCAGAGTCACTTGTGAAGACCTATGAAACGGTGTCGTGGTGGCCGAAAGAACCATATCACATCTGGTGCTATGCGGTGTCTGCGCAGCCCGAAGTATTGTGCGTGTCTGTGACGGACAATCACATATACTAGTTACGAATTACAACTACGAACACCGCCATCTTCTTCGCGGGGCCGACGTAGCCTATGGAGACCCTGTTTCCGACGCCACGGAGTGCTTCGAGTGCGAGAAAACACGTGAGGATAGGACATTTCTATACCACATTGACATTATTTCAATGTTGTCAGACAAAACGAAGGCTGCATCTATGACCTTTTAAGGGCGTTTCAACCTGGCTTTACTTCTTCTTCAAAAGTTCGTCGAACACACCTCACAAAGCATCGAAATACTACCGATTTTAATGTCTGCCCATCCGGCAGCAGCCTTATTGTAATTCCGCCAAAGAACGTGGGGCTATTCAGACACGCGTAAAAAAGATGCTCAATGACGGCATTATTCAACCATCCAGCAGCCCTTGTTTCTCGCCAGCGGTTCTAGAAGAAAAAACACGGAACGCGCCGATTCTGTATTGACTACAGGAAGCCTAAAAGCCTCATGAAAAAAGATGTCAACTCGCTTTCACCGGTCGATGACTCCCTCAACAGGTTACGACGCACAAGGTATTTTTCGTCCAATGAATGTAAATAGTGGCTATTTGCGAATCGAAGTTGATGAACGAGACCGAGAAAAAATCGTGGTTGAGGCTCCAGACGGACTTTACGAATTCCGAGCTCTTCCCTTCGGCCTCTGTTTTGCCTCAGTTAAGAAGATGATGAATACTGTTCTTGCTGGCTTGAAGTGGCAAAGCTGCCTTGTCTACCTCGATGATGTGGTCATTTTCTTCGAGAGCTTCGAAGAACATCTGAAGCGCTTAAGAAAGGTTCTAGAAGCTAATCGCACAGCTAAACACACGCTGAGACCCTAAAAAAGCCATTTCGGTAATGAGGAGCTGAAATTTCTGGGGACATGTTGTTAAGGCGGATGGAGTGCGGCCTGATACAGACAAAACTGATGCCGTCGCCGTCTTCACTGTTCCATCAGATAAAAGAGCAGTATGCCGTTTCCTCAGCTTGTGCGCGTATTATTGCCGATTTATCGCTAACTTCTCGAAGATAGTTGAAGCTCTTACGTGACTCACCCGAGATGACGTGCGCTTTTCTTGGAGCGCAGAGCAAAAAATAGCGTTCGCAGAGCTACGACAGAGAAGGCAAACAGCCCCTGTTCTTTCTTATTTCGATGAGGACGCTGCTACAGAAACTGTCACAGTTGCCAACAACACCAGACTAGACACTGTTCTCGTACAACGACATGGCAGCGTCTAGCGTTAATTAGTTTACGCCTGTCGTACTCTTTCTCGAGCTGAGGTTAACTGCCCCACATTAGAAAAATAATGCCTCGCAGTCGTACGGGCGACGACCAAATTTCGGCCTTACCTCTGCGGTGCTGCCTTCAAAGTGGTGACTGAACACAACTCGCTCGGCTGGCTGGCTAATCTTGGAGATCCATATGGCCGTATCGTTCAGTGCAGTTTGCGATCGCAGAAGTTCGACATTACGATTGCGTACAGCTCAGGGTGCAAACGCGAGTATGCCGACGCGCTTTACTCGAGTGCTTGTGGGACACGCTGGCATGAACTCCGAGGATGAAAATAGGTTTGTCGGAGCAGTTAGTGATTCCGACTTTATGTCAAGAGAGCGGCAGACCAAGAATTATGCTCAGTTCTTGATTACCTGGAAGGCTGAAACTCCCAGGTCCCTCGCCATAATGCTCACGAGCTGTCCTCCTTTTCTCCCAAGAAGAGGCATTCTTTATAAAAAAAACACTCGTGGTAGAGACAAATCATTCCTACTCGTTGTCCCTACCGACTTGCGTGATGACATCCTCTTTGCGTGCCACGATGAAACCACGTCAGGATATTTAGGCTATTCACGAACTCTCGCAAGAGAGCGCCAACAGTATTACTGGCCGCGACTATCAACTAGTTTACATCGCGATGTGAATGGCTGCCGTGAGTGCCAGTGTCGCAAGACTCCGCATGTGAGACTAGTGGGCCTGCTCTAGCCGATCGTACCACCGCGGACACCATTTGGCCTTCATAGCAATGGAACATTTGGGACCCTTTCGCGTGCCGTTTTCTGGTAACAAATAGATTATAGTTGCTATGCTGAAACAAAAACGTTACCCCTTGGCACGGCCTCTGAAGTTGCAAAGTTCTTCGTGCAACAAATTGTCCTATGGCATGGTGCCACATCATATGAGATCACGGATAGAGGGACGTCATTCATCGTTTACCGTGTAATTGATGGAGGACATTTAAATTTAGCTACACAAGTCATCGAAAAATGTCAGGTTATCATCCGCAATCCGATGCACTGACAGAGAGGCTCAACAACGCCATAGTTGACATCTTGTCAATGTACGCGGACGTACAACACAAAGCCTGGGACAAGATTTGTTCATACAGCACGTTTGCGTACAATAAGGCAACGGAAGAAACCATGTGATTTCCGCCTTTCCACCTCGTTTACGGACGCGTCGTGCGCACTATGCTCGATGCTACGCTTCCGGTTGACCAAAGCTGTGAACTTGCTCCCGACGCTGAGCATTACACTCAGTACGCCGAAGAAGCTCGTCAGATAGCTCGCGTAAACAGCAGTCACCAACAAGATGCAAACGCACGGCGTTAAGCCTCCGCCATCGAATTCTAGCCTATCACCCTGGTGGCCAAGGGGGGGTGTGCATCCCTGTCCGGCGACCAGGCTTATCCAAAAAAAGTCCTTATTTTGAACCATACAAGGTTGTTAGACGTGTCACAAATTTTACCTATGAGGTATTTGCGGGCAGCGCAGTGTCTTCTCGTCGACAGCTTCGGCCCGATATCGTGCATGTCGTTCGGCTCAAACCATATAGCTATTTTACACAGTAGCCCTTGTGCTTTAACGTGTTACATTGGCCGCGACTTGCGTTGCTGCTGCTGTTCCTGTTCTCCTTGTGTTTTTATGCGCAATATTTTTACGCTGGGCACAAGTGTTGGTGCAACTTCCTTATCTGCGTGGCTGATACTGGCGCTTCTCCCTCTTGTGGTTGTCTATACCTTCAGGCATATGCATTCATTTTTTTCTTTGTTTACGAGAATCAAGTCCATGCTTTCAAACAGGCGGACTAGTGCCATATGGTCTGCTTGTAAGAGATCCCGAGTGCAAGAGGACAAAGAAGATCTAGCTGAGCCGCTGCTTGGCTAGCCCACTCAACAATCCTATAAAAGCAAGTTTGTCGTCAGAAACGTGACAATATCTACGGTGGCGCCTACTTTCCAAAAACGGTTGCTGTTTAACATAGTCATCTGCCTCTGAGCTTGTAAGGTTAGATTTTATAGCGTACCCAGTCACTCCTGCTCCTAAGGAGAACGCCCTTATTGCGAGTGGGTGCCCTAGTTGCTTCGTAATGAATTGGGCAGCATTTGGCTGCAAACAATGCCTGTGCTCTGTGTTTTTGCTGGCGGTTTTCCTCAAATGTGAGTTCTTCTTGTATCATTCATGTAACTTTGGTTGTGATGTTGCTGCGTGTTCTGCAAAAGCCTGGCGCTTTGTTACTTTGTATTGCCACCTTGTCTTACTAGTGAATGATTTTGTTTTTCAGAATTGCTCGAGATGTTCGTTTCTCAGTCTTTCAGCATTGCTTTATGCTCAGTTTAGTCCCACAAGTAAACGATTGTTATTGTAGTGAACCCCTAGGCAAACAATACATCTAGGATTACAGCTAAATGCATTGTTTACTAATATACACTCTGCTAATGAAAAACCGTCTTCAAACTCCTCAGTTTTTAAGTGCCTAATTGTTTATGTCAAGAATTGAGAAATATGGTAATTCCTCTAAATATAATAGCATTTTAGCGTTAGACTCAACCATTTCGGATCACAAAATGATAACGTATAATATATGCGTGAATTCCCTTTCACTGCAAAGAAATTTGAAATAAAGTATCTTAGGCTTACCCGTAAATAAAGGCTCGAATTCCCCTTGGCATTCTTGTATCTTTCTCGTATACCCATGAATGAAGTCACCAGTTTCATCTCCGTAGTTCGTTGACTTGTACGCTTCGATTTGCTCTCTAAAACAAGCCATATAAATAAATTTCTTATTCAGGGTATATACGCTGATTGCTTGCTTATATATGCGGAGCGGAATACAACGTGCACGTCTCTGTCCCTACGCACCTGTGACTATAGTGATGCTAGCCAAACTATGTCCTAAAATACTACGATATACTGATGATATGTGGGGTTTAACGTCCCAAAGCCACCATATGATTATGAGAGACGCCGTAGTGGAGGGCTCCGGAAATTTCGACCACCTGGGGTTCTTTAACGTGCACCCAAATCTGAGCACACGGGCCTACAACATTTCCGCCTCCATCGGAAATGCAGCCTCCGCAGCCGGGATTCGAACCCATGACATGCGGGTCAGCAGCCGAGTACCTTAGCCACTAGACCACCGCGGCGGGGCATACTACGATATACTACGATTCTGTAGTATACGAAAGATACTTGAAATGTGGGTGCGCAACGCCACATGATCCTAGGAAGACAAAGATAGGACGCTTTGGCCTATACTCATAAACTCGTCTAATAAGATTCTCTGACAAATGTTGAAACGCTTCTTCGATTACGAGCTGAGGTTTCAGCAACTTCAGAAAGAAGTACGACCTACCATTTGCATTGATGTCTCTGTACTCACGACATGCAATGTTTCGCCAAATACTTTCTGATAGTTTAGTTCGTTTACTCGCGTTTATGGAACAAAAGCCCACTGGCTCTTAACAAAAGCGTTTTTGACCACCAAGCTGTACAGGTTTGTTAGTTATTCTTATTTTACCATCTCATGCAAATCGAAATGAATAGTTCATCTTCAGGTAAAGTCGGCATTTTTTTCTATGTTGCCCGAGCGTCCAGCTCCAGGCAAGAAACAGAGCAGTGGGCGGGCTTACAGGCATGCTCTGGCGAAATCCCTCCCATTCGAAATAACTCAGGTGAAAGATTGCATTTTTGAATGGTATTTGATGGTTGTTGCAGGCTCATTTAATGACTCCCCCCCCCCCTTTACTAAAGGCATATTTTAACTTTTGTACGTACCTGTGCACATATATTGATACTTACATATATAAGTCCTGTTTTCCTCACCCCCCTCTTTCAAGAACAAAAAAAAACTGGCTGATAATGCCCCTAGTGCTTTCCGTGAGCACAAAATCGAGCTGTATCTAAATGACACACAAATTATTGAATTCAAGTTGAGGAATTTTGAGTAGGTTTTAAATGTTTCATAAAATAGCCACCCCATTCTAGGTCAAACGATCGAACTCCGCTCATGGCTAACTTGTTTTTGATAGTGGCAAAAATGTGTAAGGCTCATGGTATTATATTTAGGTGCAAGTCAAAGATTCCCAGGTGGCCGACATTTCTGTAGCCCTTCACTGCGGATTCTTCACATATCTAATGAAAATATGTTAGTTTTGAGGCGTTCAACGGCCCCGTTGAACGCCCACGCTAAATGTTTGCGCAGTTACGCGGCGGCCGCATCATATCGTTAAAGTTTAATGACGTCCGTCACGTTAGTGTGACGCTTATGGTGCTCAGCTGCTGACCCGGAAGTGACGGATTTCGTGGCGGCAGGTTTAATCACATTTCGATGGGAATAATATGTTTGAAACTAGCATACCATTCGATGTCCGTGTATGTTAAAAAACGCCATATCGTTGAAGTTTCTGGACCCCTTCATAAGGGCGTTACTAAAAGGAATACCGTGGTTTTGGCACTTCAGCAATCACACACACACTGAAGACGAGAGGCAAAAACAGACATACGTAAAGAAAACGCAAAAAATCAGATGCAAAGAAAATAGAAGAAGAACATCGCTCTACGGCACTACGACCCACGCCCTTTCTCTCCTGCGGCAACAGCTTGAAGGCGTTCAACCAGCTGCGCTGACATCGAAATCTTGATGAATGCTTTGAGAACGATTTCTTTATGTCTCACACTTTCCTCTGACAGTAACCTCGGTTTGTGGATTGGTCAGCTGGGAACTGGAGAATGAGGCGACAGGTGGTCCTTCAAATAGCTTAAGCAACACGTTGTTTTGTTGCTACAACTGTCTCATAAGGGCAGGTTCACGCTAGCTGCAAACATGCCTCGCCGTTTGACGTTCTCAGGAAAGCCGTGCGTGGCTATTTTCTTTGCGCACGTCTGTCGTTCTTTGCGTTCGAAGAATGGCTCTGAGACCCATTTTTGCGCCGTTTGCTGCTTGTTCGAGGGTGACGTAGCCAATCAGCGACGGAGCAGCGACATGACTGAGCCGCGTCGTCTGCTTTCGCCTCTACGCATTTTTGGCGTCTGCCACAAGACACTGCGAGCTGCTTGCTCCGCGGCTTTCACGATATGTGGTACTTGTTGTTTCCAGACAACGTTTCAGCAGTGAATAGAACACTTTCGCCTGCCCAGAGTTTAAAAAGCGTAGAGCTATTCAAAGTGACATCCCATAAAGCAGGCGTGTGGACAAGTGGCCCCAGCTATTCAGCGCTAGCAAAAACAAACAAACATGTAATGTATGCCCTCCGAGAATTCGGTAAGGCTTGCTTAGGCTTAGAACATCAACTAATTGAGTATGGCTCTCATAAACGGTGCCCAATCGATTGAAGTACTGTGTTGTCGAAGATAAAGCAAATTAAAGCATCGGTTCGCAGCTTAAGAGCTACAGAGCGCATGGCGGCCACTTGATTGATTCGATGCGGTCGATAACTGCATTCGGAAGGGCAGCCATGTTTGTGTGGAGGCTGAAATGCCTCTCCGGAAAAGCTTGTCATGCACTTTGAGCAGCTCTGCCTGTGGACGGCGGCGGCTGATGGATCTATGGTGCTGTGTCGTTAGGGCCAGTTCACGCTAGCGGCAAGCCTGTCGTGATGTCACTGTGGCGCAGACAAGCAGCCGGTGCAGCCCGCAGGAGAGCTGTTCGAATCGCACGGCAAGTTCATCCGACAAACATGGCTGCTCTTTCAGATGCAGTTGTCACCCACCTCGTATCTATCAAGCGGCCACTGTGCGCTCTGTGGCTCGTAAGCTTTGAACTGAATGCTTCTATATGCTTTAAATTCATGTCATTTAGCTTCGAAAACACAGTACGTGAATTGATTCAGCACCATTTCTGAGAACCATACTCAAATAGTTGATGTTCTTGGCCTACGCAAGCCTTTCCGAATCTTGCAGAGCATACATTACATGTTTGCTTGTTGTTGCTTACGCTAGCTAGCTGGTGCCACTTGTCCGAACGCCTGCTTGGCGTACGTTATTTTGATTGCTGTGCGTTTTCGTAAATACCGGACACGCGAAAATGCTCTATTCACTGCTGGAAGGTAGTATGGGAACAACACGTATGACATATCGTGAAAACCGCGGAGCAAAAAGCAACCAGCTCGAAATGTTCCGCGGCAGGCGCAGGCAATGCGGAGAGCGGAAAGCAGACAACGCGGCTCAGCCATGTCTCTCCTGCGTGACTGATTGGCTCAACCAGTAGAGTTTAACCTCCCCGTCTCATTGTGGGAGTGGCCCACCAGTGTCGCCCCTTAAGGGGGACTCAGCGCCGCCTCTGATTAATATTAAAGTTTTTAGAATATTAATCCATGGCACAAAAATGGGACCCATTTTACGAATGGCAAGAACGGCAGACGTGTGTGAAGCAAACAACCACGCACAGCTGCCTGAAAACGTCAAACGGCGAGGCATGGTTGGCGCTAGCATGACCCGTCCCTTACGGGAGGCTTGCCATTAGCGGGAAACGGTTCTAATAGCGCGCTCACAATTGGCCTCGAAGAGAGCAAAACCGGCAAAACTCTTCGGAAACTGGCTCGTTTTGCCGCCCAAGCGGCCCGAAAACCACGCTGCGCGGCCGGCGCGAAGGAATCACTCCGTGACCGAATTTCCCACCACGCACAACCGGATCCAGTTTCCGCTTCACTGTCATGGCTGCCGCTACATCAAACCACGTGACCTAAGCAGCTGGCCACAGATTCACTATAGAGGTATATGCGTTGGCGGCGGCTCGCATCGGCTCAAATCACAAACTACCCGTGCAGCACCAAGATGCTTAATGGCCTCAACGAGGACGTGTTCACCGAGAACCTGACTTGGATTACGATCGCGGAGAACTCTGGAACTAGACGGTGCAGCGGCAACGAAAAAGCATGCCCCAATGTTTCTCGAGTGTGTCTACAGCCAGCTTAATGCACCGCTGCCGCTGCCGGTGCGTTCGCTCGTCTCGTTTCTGCTGGCTTATCTCACCAAACAACGTTTCAAAAGGTGCGAGGTGTTTGTTTTCACTACTTTAGGTGAATAAATAAAATTAGGTACAAACTTTAGTTTTCAGAAAGCAGGCAAAATTTAATGAGGTGTTAAGGTATCGACGGCAGTGGCGGCGGGATGGGGCACAACGAATGTGAACATCTTCGACGCACGCGCCCGTGGTTTTCCGGCCGATCTAGCATTCTCGTTTCTCTTCACTTCTCAAGTGTGAATGCGCCATAAGGTACAAACAAACTGGCGCCGCGGCACTATGCCGCGCGCCGCTCACCGCTTGAGAGATGCTGTTTTTGCCTCTTTCTCGCGCAGAGTGTCGTGCAACTTCTGGGGCAGACCGAATCGCTCAGTCGGCTATTAAAGACTGGAGCCTTCCCGCAAAAATTTTGGTCTGTCTGTCTGTTTGTTTGTCTGCCTGTCTGCCTGTCTGCCTGCCTGTCTGTCTGTCTGTCTGTCTGTCTCTCTGTACAATTGTCTGTTTGTCCACTCTTAACGGCACAGGGTACTTGAAACGGCCGACCCAATCCACAGTGCCCACCAATATTGCTCAAGATTCAGCGTTCATACTTGTGCTATTGTCAACTAAGAACAATTCTTGCGCATGTCTTAGGCACCATAACAACACGTATATATTCTGCATTTGTGTCTTTTCACTTGAAAACTGCATACATAAGTAATATTAAGGACTGTAGCGCTCATCATAGTGTGCGGAGAACGCAACGCTCGCACGAAAAAGCAAGTGTTTCCAAAGGTTTGCTAAAACGAGATG